ATTAATATTTTTATAGAATAAAAAATAATATTTGTAATAGTATCTATTTATTATAAAATAATTAAAAAATTAATATAAAAAGAAAAAAAATAACAAAAAGATAGAAAAAATAATAAAATAATAAAAAATGAAATGATAACCTATGTATAGGGGTGCCATTGGTATAAGATGGGGTGACATTAGCCTGTGCCAAAAAAAAAACAGAAAACTACTCTACGATTTATCACTTTTTATGTCTTAAAATCCATGTCTAGTTTACTATTTCGATCAGGGACGGACCTAAGAATTTTTGGATGCGGTGACACCATATAAAATAGTTGTATCTTTTAAAATAAAATGGTTGTACCTATCACGAACCTAATTTATTTACCTTACCACGGAGGAACAATTCGGTGGCATGTGCCACCTCAACCACCCCTCTGGGTTCGTCCCCGATTTCAATTCATCACCTGTTTGGTTTATGTTAGTGAAATGAAAGTGAGAATAAAAAGTTGAAAATGAGGACGAACTTTTGTTTCTCAGTTTAATTGGAATGAAAATTTTGTACATTATATTATAAAATACCAAATAGTTTCTTTTATTTCTATTTTTATCGATTACAACTTAATATGTAACCAATTTTGTGTCTGGGATTGCTTATTTGAACAACTTATCATTTTCTAGAAATTTTTTTATCAACTTATTATAAGTTATAATGATTTAACTTATTCAAAAACTCCTTATTGGTGTCACATCAGAATAAATCAATAAGTTGTTTTTATAAGCAATCCCAAACACCCCTAAATACCCCCCAAGTGTTTAATTTTAAAAGTAAATGTGTACTTTCCTATTCCACTACAACAAAACTGAGTTTATAAGACACCATTAAATTCTAAGCGTTTTAATAGACCACTTTATAAAACTTAATTTATAAGACCAAATATTCAAGCGTTCTATCTAAAGGCGTTGTAATAAATTTATAGGATGCTTTTAGACGTCTTAACAAGATTTTTAAGACACTTTTATTACAAAGTTTCGCAGTAGCAATTATAGGACACTATTGAAAAAGTGTCCTAAAACACATATTTTTATATGACACCTTTTCAAATAGTGTCATATAAAATTGCTAATGAAACTATTTGTATTAAAAGTGTCCTAAAAAACTTGTTAAGATGCCCAAAAATGTCCTATAAACTTATTACAACCCCTTTAGATAAGACACTTCATTTTTTGGTCCTATAAATTAAGTCCTATAAAGTGGTGTATTAGGACACTTAATTTTTTTTTGCTGTCTTACACTACAAAAATGAAGAGTATCAGCGAAGAAAAATTCCCTCACTGATCCACCACTAAAGGGGTCTTCTGTCGCTGATAGTCCGTCGATCAAAAGCTTATAGGTAATGCTATCAGCAATGGATCAACGACGGAATTCAGTGATAAATTTGCGAGGAAACCATTCAGCGATGGATCAACGAGGGAACATATTCCGCAACGGATCAGCGAGGAAAACTTTCAGCGACGGATCAACGAGGGAAACTTCAGCGATGGATTAGCGAGAGAACTTTTAGCGACGAATCAGCGAGAATTTTTTTAGCGACGGATCAACAAGGRATGGGGAGGGACTTTTAGCGAGGGAAAACCCCTCGCTAATGTTTATTAATCTAAAAATAAATAATTTACAATTACATAATTTYTCTATTTATTTATGCAAAATCTGACCATATTATAACAAATTGAAACTGTGAATAAATTAAAACTAACCAACTCATACAATTTAAAATATCAATTTCATACAATTTAATGTTCAAATTCATACAATCTAACTACCGGGAGGTGGGGGAGGGCGAAAAACGTATCATAACTGCCGCTTAAACACAGCAAAATGCTCTAATAAGGCGGCCTGTTCAGCTAATGCAACAGCTTGTCTGGCCTGTTCGGCCTCCAAATCCGTCATCCTCTTCCGTTCGGTCTCCATCTCGGCCAGATGGCGTTCCTCCTGTAGGCGCTCGCGCCTCCTCCTCTACCTTTGCCAACTTCTCTATCAACTCCGCTATCTAGTTTTTGGCCTTTCCCTCGCTGATCAACGAGGGTTTTCCGTCGCTGATACCTTATTTTCTATTTGTGTCTAGTTTCTTTAAAAAAGTATATTTTACTTGCATAATTTCTATAGAACACGAAAATTTCACGATATTTGGTTTAACAAGAAATTAGTACACCGTTTTCTCATTTTTGATTAGACCCTTTACACAAAAGATCGTCCATTTACCAAAACTTATTACACTGTTTAATCTTTACATCTCATCCGCTCAATTATAAATTTATCGTAGTTTTTGTCTCAATCCGTTATATCGTCTCCTACCTATGCATTGACACGTGTTTAGTTTAATCGACGAATTATTTTAAATCGATGATGTCCATTAATAATATTTTATTAACTTTGCAATTATGAATATTTTCGTTTGATCGTTATATCATCAAAACTTCGTTTCAATATATTATGTAATCGTAATATTTACGGCTATATTTATTTATAAAATTATTACTCTAAATTTCATTAWGTTATCGTTTCACCATAAAATATTTTTTTAGCCTAATCAAAGTAACAAATAAACAACATTTAGCTCTATAAAATTACGAGTTACAATTTATTATTGTTTTGGTTCTTGTGGTTTATAATTAATTAGAGTTTTCATTCTTTTGGTTTACAATTAATTATTGTGTAAGCATCCATGATTGAATGACTAAAGCAACCAACTCATAATTGGCGAATTCGTAGGTTCAATTCATATTGGATGCACACATCTCAAAATAAATGTTCACAATAAAAATGACATACAATTTTATGAACATGTAATTATTATAGTTTTTAATTAATTAAAATAATACTTTACTCTTAATAAATAGAATGATAATTTTTCTTTGTAACGGTAAAACATTACAACAAAATCGGGTTTATTAAGTATAAATGGATACCAAAAAAATTGTTAGTTTGGATGACAATAGATTGTGAATAAATTAATAGTGAATTATTGTAGGTACAAGTGAGAAGTGCTTTTATATATATATATAGAGAGAGATACCTATTTCTATCGGTTGATTTCACCTCTTAGCTATTTTTTTATAAGAATTACCAAAATAGCCATAGGTTCTCAATTCTAATTCTTTGTGCATACCTAAGTGAAAAATGTAATTTTTTTGTGAATAAGAGTAGAAAGTGTAATTTTTTTTGATCTTTTAATTGGGTGTGCAATTGCGGATGTGGGTTTCGCGGACCTATGACTATTTTGGTAAATTTGAAGAGAAAATGGCTAGAAAGTGAAACCAACCTTGAAAAATGATTATTTTAATAAATTTTCTGTTAATTTTATAATAGAGCCTATGTATATTATTAACAAAACAAAAATAAAATATAAATCAAAAAGTAAAATAACCTTTTATTATATAGTAGAGATTCATTTCGGCCGCCTTAGTTACAAGGCCCGTGTTCGGCCTGGTAGGAGCATTGAAACGCAATTCGGTAGATCATTATTTATCGAGTACCAAAGATACATGTATTTTGGAATGTCTTAAGATGGGGTGATTCATTGTTTCTACGTATTGAGGGTGATCTGGATAAACGTCATTCTCTCACAGGTTGTGTTTGTATTTCGCTCGTGTGCTTTTAGTTGAAAAGGTCGTCTTATATACAATCTATGTTTACTTGGTCTACTATACAAGCTAAGTATATAGGAAATACCAGGGAATTTAAGGATGCCATTTGGCTTAACAGTTTGTTTAGGAAGCGTTTGGTATGCAGACATGATTGGACAGGACTAGACAAGACAAAACTCGACTGGACATGACAAGAGGGTAGTACTAGACAAGCAAGACCGGACAAAACAAGTGTCTGTCTGGTGTTTGGTACGATTAGTACTGGACATAACATAACTAGATAAGTTGCCCCCAAACGAGGGTTAGTTAGTAATATTTTATTTTCTGTCTCAAACTTGTCCCATCTTTTATCCCACCTTGTCGCAGTTCTTGTCCCTGTCCCATGT